GGATCTAGTAAAACTACTACTAAAACATGTTATTACTGTAAAGAACCGGGTCACTTTAGGAATAATTGTCCGGTGAGGAAAAACAAGTCCCAGGCTGCTGTAGTTGAAGAGAAACCGAATGAGAGCTATAATTCAGAGGAAGATTTAGCATTAGTCAGTTCTGCTAGGTCTGATGATTTATCTGATAACTGGGTTCTAGATTCGGGGTGTTCGTTCCATATGTGTCCACGTCGAGATTGGTTTGATACATATGAACCTCGCAATGGGGGTATGGTTATAGTCGGTAACAATGCTCCATGTAAGGTCACAGGTATTGGTTCCATGAGGTTGAGGACTGTTGATGGGCGGAGGTTAACTTTGACTAATGTACGGCATGTTCCTGCTTTAGGAAAGAATCTGATTTCATTGGGTACCCTGGATGAATTGGGGTACAATGGTGTGTTTTCAGATGGGGAGTTGTGTATTTTCAGAGGTTCTGAGTTGGTACTTAAGGGTATCAAAAGGAACACCCTCTATGTTTTTGAGGGTGTTACACTGCCTAGTTCTGCGGTTTGCGCATCTGTATCTCACCAGGAGATGACTAAGATTTGGCACATGAGGCTTGGTCATATGGGGGAGAAGGGGATGCAGCTATTGTCCAAGAGGGGTCTTCTATCCGGGGTCAAGGTTGCCAACCTTGAATTTTGTGAGCATTGTGTGTTTGGTAAGAAACACAGGTCAAAGTTCAGCAAGGGTGCTCACATTACTGATGCAGTGCTCGATTACATCCATTCAGATTGCTGGGGTCCATCTAGAGTTGAAGGTATGGGAGGTTACCACTATTTTGTGTCATTTGTTGATGACAAGTCCCGATACACATGGCTTAGGTTGCTTAAGTCAAAGGATGAGGCCTTCAAAGTTTTCAAGCAATGGAAAGCTTTGGTGGAAAATCGACAAGGAAGGAAGATCAAGAAGCTACGAACGGACAATGGGCTAGAGTTTTGCAAAGACGAGTTTAATCAGTTCTGTGCAGATGAGGGTATAGGTCGGCATCATACTGTCAGGAAGACACCACAGCAGAACGGTGTAGCAGAACGGGTTAATCAGACACTGCTAGAGAGAGTCCGATGCATGCTCTCTAATGCAGGGCTTGGGAGGAGGTACTGGAGTGAAGCTGTGTTAACAGCTTGTTATGTCATTAATAGGGGTCCTCATTCTGGAATTGATTCCAAGATTCCGTTTGAGATCTGGAGTGGTAAGTTGCCTAATTTTTCGAATTTGAAGATTTTTGGTTGTGTTGCTTATTATCATGTTATTGAGGGTAAGCTGGATCCACGAGCCAAGAAGGGGTGTTTTGTTGGGTACGGGGATGGTGTGAAGGGGTTTAGAATTTTTTCACCTTCGGAGGGTCGGGTCATTCTTAGTAGGGATGTTACTTTCGATGAAAACACCATGTATTCAATTAAAAATGCAGAGATTTCAGATTTGAGAAGGGAAGGAGACAATTTATTACAGACAGATGGGGTACTTGAGGTACATCAGTCTACCATTGCTGATTTACCTCGGGTACAATATATTGATGATGATGCTGATGTTCCAGTGCCGGGTACTCCTGAACCTGAGATTACTCCTACTCATTCTAACTCTGGGGATGAGGTGGAGCAATCTAATCAGGGGTCATCTAGTCAACCTGACACCATTCTTGAGATGCCTAAACGAGTTATCAAGAAGCCTGTTAGATTGATTGAAGAGATGGAGGGAAGAAATTGCTGTGTTGATGCGATGACAGGTTATGCATTGAGTGTAGCTGATGATGTAGAGTCATTTGAACCTGCCACATATAAACAAGCAATTAGTTGTAGTGAGTCTGCGCAATGGCTTGCCGCAATGGGTGAAGAGATGCAGTCTCTTTACAAGAACAGAGTGTGGGAACTGGTAAAGGTACCGGAAGGGAGGAAGCTTGTGGGTTGTAAATGGATTTACAAGAAGAAAGAAGGGTTGTCGGAAACTGAGCAAATACGTTTTAAGGCTAGGCTAGTTGCTAAGGGGTTCAGTCAGGTAGAAGGGGTTGATTTTGTTGAGATATTCTCACCTGTGGTTCGACATACTTCTATCCGTGTGTTATTGTCAATTGTAGCACATTTTGATCTTGAGCTGGAGCAGTTGGATGTTAAAACGGCTTTCCTTCATGGCGATTTGGAGGAGGAGATTCTGATGAAGCAGCCCGAAGGATTCGAAGTTCCTGGAAAGGAACACTATGCCTGCAGATTGCTAAAGTCATTGTATGGACTTAAGCAATCCCCCCGACAGTGGTACAAAAGGTTTGATTCTTTTATGGTTTCACAAGGTTTTTGACAGGAATTCATATGATTGCTGTGTGTATCATAGTAAGCTGGATAATGGTTCCATGATTTATCTTTTGTTATATGTTGATGACATGTTGGTTGCCACAAAGAATAAATCTGATATTGCTAGATTAAAGGAGATGCTTAACTCGGAGTTTGACATGAAAGACTTGGGTGCAGCTAGGAAGATTTTGGGTATGGAGATCTACAGGGATCGGGCTAGAGGTAAGCTTTTCTTGACTCAGAAAAGCTACATTGAAAAGATTTTGTCTCGTTTTGGGATGGAAAAATCGAAGCCTATAAGTACGCCAACTACTGTTAGTTGTAAGTTGTCTTTGTCTATGTCACCTCAATCAGAGGAGGAGTTGTCTTATATGTCTAGAGTTCCATATGCAAACGCGGTTGGTTGTTTGATGTATGCTATGGTCTGTACTAGGCCGGATATTGCGCATGCTGTTAGTGTTGTAAGCAGGTTTATGGCTCGACCTGGGAGGGAACACTGGCAAGGGGTGAAAAGGATTTTTCGCTACCTGAGAGGGACAACTGATATTGGTCTTGTGTACGGGAATGGTAGGGAATGCTTGGTCACTGGGTACAGTGATTCTGATTATGCAGCTGATGTGGATACCAGGAGGTCTGTGACTGGTTATGTGTTCACTTTGGGTGGTTCTGTGGTTAGTTGGAAGTCTACATTGCAGTCATCAGTTACGTTGTCAACTACTGAAGCTGAGTATATGGCTTTAACTTCTGCAGCTAAGGAGTCTATTTGGCTCAAAGGCCTAGTAGGTGAACTGGGTATTGCACAGGATTTTGCTACAGTGTATTGTGATAGTCTAAGTGCGATTTGCTTAGCTAAAGATCAAGTACACCATGATCGGACGAAGCACATTGATGTCAGGTATCATTTCTTGCGTACTGACAAGAGGATTAAGGTGAAGAAGATTGGGACTGCTGACAACCCGGCTGATTTCTTCACTAAGCCTGTTCCGTTTAGCAAGTTTAAACATTGCTTAGACTTGCTAAATATTGATTACTACGTGATGTAGTAGGCCCTGAGGGGCGAAGTTGGGGAGCTCCTGGTGTAGGTGTGTTGGCCTTAAAGGTGGAGCTTGCCCGGGGCTTGTGATGCAGGTGGAGCATTATGAGTTGTTATACTTGGAGACGAGTATGTGATGGGTCTTGGTTGAAGACTTATCGGGATGTATGGCTTATGCATGAGTCTTGCATCGGGTTTGGCTTGAGATGTTTTTTCCACTATGTCTTGATGGGGTCGTTTGCTGACTACGAGTTCTCGTCAAGGTGGAGATTGTTGATAAGTATTAGGTGACTCGTACTTCGTAGCTTTGTCCGCCCGATCGGGCGGACATTGCCCGGTCTGACCGGGCGGTGGGGGTTGGATACGTTGAAGCATTCGTATGGAGTTTTCTTCTCGCGCCCGATCGGGCAGACCTTGCCCGGTCTGACCGGGCGGAGAAGGAAAAATGCGGAGACGCGGATTTTACGATTTAAAGTTATCTTTTATGTTATCTTTTTGCCCAAGTATCTTTTATTTTAGGGATTAATATAAAACCTCCCTAATATTAGTATAAGGGTGAAGAGAGACAGAGTGAAAGCCGTTCTTGAGAAATACAAGAATCATCTTTGTAATCTTTGCAGTTTATAGTGAAATCATTCGATCTCGGTGCCCGTGGACGTAGCTATCACATCGATAGTGAACCACGTAAATTCTTGGTGTTGTTCTTATTGTTTGCATTGAATTTCTTTATTGTTTTCTTGTTTGTTTTTCGACCTTTGCTTCCGCTGTCGCACAACACAGGATAATGAAATGGCTGAATGAGGAGGAGGAACAGCTTGCAGACAAGAACCTCCCCGAAATCAAACATCTTATAATTGATATGTCATGTAAACATCTGATAAAACTCCCGAATATCTTGTTCCACAACTTCTTTTACCCTGGCTTTCAATTAAGGAGTATTTCTGAAGATATTTTTATATTTTTACTGGTTGCAGCTGTTGCAGATATTGATACCAGTGGTACACATGCCCTTGAAAAGTTATACAAGACCCTTGAAAAGAAAATTGTGAAGGTAAACACACAAACACGGCGCAAAGTTCTGATTTGATGTCATCAAATTAATGATCCATGCACAAAGCTCTAGTTTGAACTAATCTTAATGATCTATGTGTTTTCGCGTTTGCAACAGCTTGTAATAGGAAGTCCAGTGCAATTCGTAGTTGACAAACTCCATTCATCTGGGTTAGTCAAGTTAATTGGAGAGGATTATATCTTCACATCAGTCGCAGATGCTGTACTTACATGCTCATCTGCAACACAAGAACCATGAGCTCACCTTTGTGCTCAAGTCATCTTGTCTTTACTTCTAGAAAAATTACAATTCCCTCTCTCCGGGACTGATTTGTCCCAGTTTAATGGTCCTTCTAACAGAAACAGCTCCAAATGAACGGGGAAATGATAAGAGTACAAAATCGGCATTCATTATTTCACAGGCAAATTAAACCCGCATTCTTACTCTCATATCTGTAAGGCAGAAATTATTCAGCATGATTACAAATATTTTTAGAAAAAAAAAAAAAAAAAAGAAGCTAAAGCTCATGTAAGAACTTGGCTTCGAATGCTCATGTTTTTCCTTCGCATGCTAAACACATTGATAAAATTGAACTTATATATATACGAGTAGAAGACAAATGGATCTTACAATCACAAATCTCTAAAGCAAAAGATAGATCCAATCCTAAAAACTATCACTAAACTGAGATTGAAACTTTGGAATGGAATATGATGTCATTTAGCTAAATGCAACTGAAAACTTCCCAGAATTAATAACATCTCATTACCAATACAAATTCTGCAAATCTCCGACAAAAATGCAAACACGGCCATCCCACGCTTGAACTATAATCTAAAAACACCACCATAGACAAATGTCAACCCAATAAAATCTCAAACACACCAAAATTATGAGGCAGCAGCAACTTGCTTCCTTGGGGCTGCTTGCGTACCTGGTTTGACAAGCAGATTAGTAAGCCATTGGGAGGAAATATGTAACAAAATAATCATATAGGAAATTTTTTGGGGCTAAGATGAAAACAATACCTTCTCTGAAACCAGTCTTAAATCTCCTGGGGACATTACGAAGGTACCTCATCCTACCAGTTCCTGTTGTCTTTCTCCTGATTGCCTTCATACTCCAGTTATCTGCAATGCAACACAAAAGGGGCAAAGTTAAGAAAACATTGCAAAACAGAGGTTGAAGTTGAGACACCAAATATCAAACTAGATTTGGATGAAAATTGATCACTAATTTCGACAAAAGGAACAAGCAAACAAATTTCAGGGGACTACAATCTTCCCAACTCAGAACTTACAAGCAACCGAACAAATATATTTGTCAAACCACCCTATTCCAAAGTCATCCACACATTCCAAATCATCGATTTACATCTACATTGGAGCACGAAGCTGATGAAACCTAAACTTTTCCAGCAAGCAAACAAAGACCATATATTAAACATGATCACATGTAGAACAATGCTTTCACTTGGTCCAACATCAACAAACTAATTCCTAAGTTCAATATGCCAGGGTTTATAATTGAGGAAATAGAATCACAGATTCAATCCAAACAATCTAAGGAAGCATTCCATGTTCCGGTAACTGAATAAGCTAGCAACACACACTACAGTTTATTCGACACTTCGGATACAAAAAAATCAATACCCCGCGACTATTGAGTGCAGCACAAGAGCATAGTGCCTTCAATTCCCCATCATGTCCAAGACAAATAAAATGCAACACTCAATTGAGAAAATAGGATTACCATAACAAACCATCTCAAACCAACCCGGACAATAGTTCCGCATTCCGGTGACAACACTATCGGTGCAATCAACAACTCCGGAGAACATTAAAGCACTAATTCCCAAATGTCATACATAATTGTCACTTTTCCACAGTCCTGCCTCCCAAACAATTCACTCAAATACTCATCAATTTGTCCTGAAATTTGGATAATTCTCAAATGTGATTGATACTCATCAATTTGTTCCAAAACTTGGATGATTCTCAACTGTGATAAACATCAAACTACCCAAATTAGCTAAAATCTTAATCAATCATACAATCAATTACACAAACATCACAGAATTCGCAAAATTATGCACAAGTAAGCATAATTCGACACCAAATCAAGCAAATTAAAGCTCAAAATCACTCCCAAAAAAATCAAACAAAATGAAAATCATGAAGAAAGATAACTAACACTTCCTCTTGCGAGCAGCAGGAAATCCACAACCAGAGTAACGACTCTTCTGAAGATGAAAACTGCGACGGCCACACCTCACACATAAAGTGTGAGTCTTGTTCCTCCTCTTACCAAAACTCCCCGTTCCCTTCCCCTACAAAACCAAATCCAAAACCAAATTCAGCAAATAAGAAAAAAAAAATCATGTCTTGACTTGTGGTCTTAATTAGTACTTTAGAAATATCAAGTTTTACAAATTTTACTAATATATGTAAATCTACAATTAAAAATGGGCATTGATAAACGTGTCCAAAAAATATATACTCCGTTATTTAATAAAAATGATTTTTTTTTTAAATATTAATTAATCCTCACAAAATTCCATAACTAATTCACCTTGAATAAACCACATGAAAAAACGTCGAATGTAAGTAATGTACAACCGTTTATCATATTTATTCATTTGCACAAAAATAAGTAAATTTGCTTTGCACTTTTCACTTAATTTTGCTCATCTACTTGGAATTAATAAATGGTCAAACGAAAGGTAGTAAGATCACAATTGATTAGCTATCTATTCTGAAGTAATCTGACATGATAAAACTATGAAGAGGTTTAAACTCACAAGGCCTTACACACAATGTACTTGGTACTTCACATTGTTCATAGCAATAGTTGCATGCACAAACACATTGCAATTCACAACAAAATGATCCTCTAAAAGTTACCCAATGAAGGCAAGAGTGCAAAATTAGTAACCTAAAAATACTTCGTAAAGAATTCTTATTTCTATATCATGAAGAGAAAATAGTACTAGAAAAAAAAAAAAAAAAAAAAAAAAAAAAAAAGTGTAATGAGAAATTACAAGTCTAAAGGATTAGCAAATACTATGGTATCAGAGCTACTTCTATGTAACTTTATAATTGATTAAAGATGGTTGCTTATGCTGTTATACAAGAATGAGAAGGCAGGTGTGTTACAGCATATTCAATTAAACGGACCATGCTTTGGGTGGAAAATAAGTGCCCGCAGAGTGATAATCTTGAAGGAAACAAGTTTTGAGCAAGTACTTAGTTTTGTGTATCCAAGCCATGCTGCTTAAACAATCTTTCAAGTTTCAACCATCATAGATCCTGGCTCAACGCCTCAACACTATACCCATGACAAATTATTGATGAGATGACAATGCATCTTCAATTTTTAGTGCTTCAGCCAATAGTTCCGTAATTGTGCCATGTGCAACAATATTTCATCTCGGCCTTGATTGGTGACACTGCTGGTCATTATCCAAGGAGGTGCTGCTTCAAAGAACTCACGTATCAATTCCTGAAAATCTTGTACATTCTCTTCTGGCCTTTTACCCCCATTTTTCTTCTTTTTCCTCTTGTCGCATTTGGTGAACACTATTGTCATTGGAATCTGGAAATGGATGAAGACACTGTAAGTTATCATAAGCTTTAATCATCTCAATAATCAAAATCACTGTGGCAGGGAAATTAAACGTATGTCGAAGTCATACTATCCAGATGCCTCAGCCCTGTACACATCACTTAGTTGTTGTCTTTATATGATATTTGATAACAATAACGTGCAATGTTCCATACTTTTTATAACAAAGGAATTAAATTGACATTTGAAGAAACTAAACACAGTAAAGCACCATAGAAACAGAGGGAAATGATTATAGAGCCCCAAGCTGAACATTGAACGTCAGAAGATCTTTCTTGAAAAGCTAATAATGACGATAAGTATCCTTCTTGAGAATTCCAGGAGAAGATACCAACTGTAGGAGTATCTTCCACTATGAAAGAATAAAACCAATTTCTTTACTTTTCTATTTTAAAGTATGAGATAGGAAGACCAACCTTATTTTGACCCAACCAACTCGCATATTCAAGATCAATCTTTTTGGCAGGAATGCTTGCATCAATGAGAAGGAATACTGAAACCAAGGTTGATCTCTGAAGAAAGTAGTTCTTAGTGAACTTGTCCCACTCTATTCGGACTTCCCCTGGGGCAGCTGCAAACCTGTTTAAGATACACAAATCATAAAAAAGATAACCAATATGCACATTTTAAACTGTCATTATTTCATTATAAACAGGATTACAAGTAATGGGCAGGACAAAATAAATGTCCAACAATTTGGAATCTGAGGTTATGCTCGTAACTTTTCATTGGTTTTGGAATCTTCATCTTAGTAAAACTTTGTGAGATTAATCATCAGGCTAGCTAGAGAAACACAGGTATATGAATATCAGCATATGAGGAAGCATAAAAATCCTAAACACATAGAAAGCACAACATGCCATTTACTGACCAGCATAATTGGTGGCAGCAGAGCACAGAGCAACATTTTGAAGACATGTAAACGTCAACAGAATGAACACACTAGCAGTATTGAAAAGGTGAGTATTAAATTGGAATTCCTAGAAAGAGAATGTGGCCATGGAGGAAGGGCACAAACTGATAGCTTATGCCAGGAATAAATGTGAAAAGATAAATGATAGCATTCCACAATAGCAACTGTCAAGAGTACTGAGGTGGAGCTGGGAAGATATTACCAAAAGTTTAATATCCAGGCAATACATACCCATATCCAGGCAAATCCACCAGAAAGTCATTTACACAATACATACCCATATCCAGGCAAATCCACCAGATACCAGCTATCATTGATCCGAAAATGGTTAATCAATTGAGTCTTACCTGTAGACAATGATGAACAAAAACATTAGAATCACATGAACTTTCAAAGTCTAAGAAAACAAATGGGAAAACATTCAAAATCTAACTTTTACTTAAGTAGAACAAACTAAAGTGCAAGCATAATTCGAGTAAATCTGCACATATCAATATTGTTGTTTTAGCTAGGGTAAAAATTTTGCTCTTTTTGAAGAAAAGAGAGTTAATAGGATAACTATTGTATGGAAAAGTTACTCCAAACAAGAAGTCTTACAGATGGAGACTCGACATAAAATTAACAAGCTCAGGATCATGCTGCTGGCCTGAGTACTAGACATTTGAGGATCTGAGCTCATTAATCACATGAATGTTTCATCCACAAAAAAAAAAACACATAAGGATGCAATAAAACACTTCGAGTACAGAGTACTTCTTTTTAAACTGCATTGAAAAAGTTGCTATATAGTCAATAAAGATGTGCACTTGATGGAATTTAAGTTGCCACCAACAAAGCTACATACACTGCTATCTCTGGGAAACAACTTTCCATTGAATCACCACCATCGCCTAATATTCAGACGGTCTGACCATAGACTTTTATTAAGCTGCCCACCAAATATACCCAAGAAAATTGAAAGTTACATATCATAGGTATTAGGCACACCAATACTGGGTCTTAACAATGTTAAAGCAAGACTTTTTCACCCAGCAAGTGAACTGATAACTCAATGACTAAATTAGGTTCTATTATTCTAGTAAAGTAAGCCCAAAATCAACACATCCCTGCTAATTTCTCATTGCAACAACACTTTATTCATCATTTCTGCATTGAATCACATACGAAACAAACAATTGAATTACTCCGTAGTTAAATTTATAAAAAGCAACAACGTCAACTATGTACTCCTTTGAGTCCCTTTCATTCATATGACTCCTCACTATAAAAGAATACCAATGCAATACAAATTATAACCAAATTCTTAACTTTCAAAGCAGGGATTCAATTCGAGGTCTTGGGTACCACCCCGGGACTTTAACCAACTAAGCTAGCTAACATCCACACGAAATACTTTATCAATGTGCAATAAATTAAAGAAATTAAGGAAACTATGAATTTAGAAAAGCTAAGAAATTCAACTAACCAGGCTTCTTAGAAGTAAGGGCAAGCTTCTTTCTCCGAACAAGGGAATTAAGAAGCGAAGATTTACCCACATTAGACCTTCCAACAAGGGCAAATTCAGGCAACCCATCAGAAGGGCATTCCTCAGTTTTCGCACTACTCTTGACAAACTCAGCGTTTATCACTTGAGCATTACTAGCATACTTGCTAAGCACAATGTTAGACCCCTTCAAAATTCGAGCACTCGAAGCCGAAACCGAACCCGAAACCTTTGATATTAATGAAGAAATGTCAGTTTCTGGGGGCACAAACAGCTTATCTACAGAAATCTCAATCTGGGGTTGATCATCATCAATATCATCAATAATTGATTGTTGCGGGATTAAATTTGGGGATTTAGGGTTTTGGGTAGGGAGAACTGGGGATAATGAAGAGAAAAGAGAGTAAATTGGGGACTGGCGAAATTGAAAGAGGTATTGATTGAAATGGGGTTTTGGGGTTTTGGGTTTTAGAGGGAGGAGAAATTGGGTTTGAAGTTTGGGGAGATGAGATATTATCATCCTATGTTCTGAATTGGATTTTCTCTTTGTTTTCCAGGTTTAGAATATGATTGTGCAATGAAGAAGATGAGGGAAATGGGGTGGTGTAGATTACAGAGACAAGAGTGGGTTCATTACTTCATTTTAGTTTGGCCTGTTAAGAGTCGTTTCGTTGACGTTAATAATTGATGAAAATGATCTGATATCATTCCCCCCCCCCCCCCCCCCCCCCCCCCCCCTCTTTTTTTTTTTTTTTGGGTTAAAAAGGTAAATATATTTATTAAGGCCCAACAAGGCTCACAGTAGTAGCAGTAGGAGTAGCAATTAGGGGAGCTAGGAGTTCAGCATAGTTAAAGTTTACACACATATGTTCCATACATAACATATTAATAATACCCACATCCGGGCTTTGAATACTAGAGGGAAGGGATTAGCAGCTGGCTTCCACAACACCTCATGCCCACCAGGCACCAGACCAGCTTGGGACGCTAGAAGGTGGGCTTGAATTACCTTGCCTCTTGGAAGACACTGAACATTCAGCCCCTGTGTCCTTGTTATGAACTCCCTGCACACACTTGCAATGTTAAAATATTTATCTCTAATTTTAGGAGCACCCACAATACTTGTAACAACAGTTCTAGAGTCAGAGCATGTGTTCACATCACTCAAATTCTGACATTTAACCCATGCAGTAGCAACTAAAATAGCAATAAACTAAGCAAAATTGGCATCTTCGAACTTGGACTTCAGTAAGAAGCCCCCTTACCACTCCTTAGAAGTGTAGCAATACCTCCAACACCCACCTCATGGTATGTTGGTTGAAGGGGGTATCAACTAGAATAACAAATTGAGAAGGATGAGGGGGATGAATAAGTTTGCTAAAGGGATGAGCTGGTGATATCATTTCCTTTGTTGTAGTTTGTTTGTCACTTTTTTCATTTCTTTTACCCATTTTATTTTCGAGTTTACCCAAAATTAGTCTACTTTGATACCCTACCCCCCCTTGACTTTTTCATTCCCTTTCTTTAGCCACCATACCCACCACCATTCCACTCGCCGGAACTCACCCAGCCAACTCACCAGACTAGCCACACCACCCCAACTTCTCGCCGGAACCGAAGCACCTCCCCCACCTCTTGCCGAAACCCGTCGCACCTCCCCCACCTCTCCCCAAAAACCTTCCACCAGCCACCCAAAACCCTAGAAACCACTCTCCCTCCACTTAAAATTGTCGCCCGACCCTCTCACCACCCTCCAACCCCTAGCGGCTTGGGGAGGTAATCGGGGAAGAAGAATATTTTTTTTTAATTTTTCTTTTTTTTTAATAAATTTTTTTTAATTAAAAAAACCAAATAGAAGGTGATGCATGGCAAGTCACCTTCTAAAACTAGTTACCAATTTCACAAACCGGTTTAGGGACTGTTTTGAGCTGATAGGGGTCAAAGGTGGGATTGTTTCCCGATTTAAAAAATGTGGGATTGTTTTGATCTGAGCAGAAATATCAAAGGTGGGATTATTAGTTTTCATTTTCCCTTATAAATATAATATTTTCTTATAGGTAAAAAATGTCGAATACACCTTTTTTTTTTTTTTTTTTTTTTTTTGAGGACAAAGCAAAGCTTCATTAATTAGATGATAAAATGTTCGAAAGTACATAGGGGGAGATATCTTTTCGACAATGATTCTTCCAAACTTGCTCCACACCAAACGAAATTATTCTAGCTAAATGATGCGCTACAATTCTACAAAGTTACCTTCCCGTTTGACATGGGGCCAAAGAAATGAAGCTAAATAAGTGTAGAACGTCGAAGCTTTTTCAAGACGATCCATGACGACTTTGCAATCGGACTCAAGTTCGACACTCATGAGACCATACCTCTTCCCTAGCTTGGTTGCACGCATGGTTTGTTGTTCTTTTTTTTAAAAAACAAAAAAAAAAACAGTGGAGTATATTATTACATATTTACATGACAAAAAATTTAAATTTTATTCATGATTTATTATTTTTTTATTTTAAAATAAATTATGATTTTATTTTATCTCATTTGAAATATTTAGAAAAAATAATATATATATATATAAATAAAGTAGGCATTTTTTAAGAGCATTCGGCGCGCCACATAAGCAAAGGTATATTTTCGATCAATTAAAAATTAGTTTCCTATTTTATTTTGGAATTAAAAAATCCGTTTGCCACCTAAACAAAAGTGACGAATGAGATTTAAGAATTTTTCCACGTAAGTAAAAACAAAGAATATTGATTTATTTGGATTTAATATATTTAAAAAACTAAAAATTATCTTTTAACATAATCATCTCTAGATATAGGACTTCTATACCTACTATTTTTTATGAGATTTTATTTAAGATTTAAATTATTAAAAAAAATTATCTTATGAAATTAATAGTTGTATCTAATCACCCGATCAATAAGATGATTTTATCTAATTTTCCTCATTGGCATTTAATTTTTTTGTCCATGAATGGAACACGTGTTTTTGAATTTTTACCTTAAATTCTCGTATGGGTATTTTTTTTTTATATTAGGTTGTATATATAGACATATACTCTTTCTCGCAGCTAATGTAGATTAAGAGAAATCATAACCTACAAAACTTGTGAAATCTCCATCCCAAAAATCACCCCAAGTATGGCTAACAAGAATGGTGAAGAAGACAGAATAAGCGCACTCCCAGGCGCCCTTTTGGTCGAAATTCTGTCACTTCTCCCACTGAAATCCGCCGCCGCAACCTCCGTCTTATCAAAGCGGTGGCGCCACCTCTGGACTCAACTCACCCACCTCTCCTCCGACGGCGATAATCCCCCATGGAAGCTCTCACGGGGGTCTGCCATTACCACCGGCTCATCTGAAGGCATCGCACTCCCCCGCTTCTTCGTCGACGGTAGTAATTCCCCAGGGTATATTTCACGGTGGTCTGCCGATGCCGATGCCGAATTCCTAAGTCCCGAGCTAACATTCATACGATTTACGACCTAATGAATGTGCTTTTTGTGAGACATCTAACAATCCAATGGATGCAAGACTAGTCTCACGTGTTTTGATCATTGCCGCCCTAAGTTGAGCTTTTGTGTAATTTAACTAGATTAAGTACGAGTAGAATGGTTATTGTCAACCCTTTGGTTTTCCTTTCTCTATTCTTTTATTTTGCAAGAAATGTTTTGTGCATTGTTAATGTTCTTTCTACACCTTTTGTGTAATTTAACTAAATTTTTTATGCATTGCTAATGTACTTTCTACACCTTTTGCAAGAAATGTTTTGTGCATTGTTAATGTTCTTTCTACATTACCTCCGAGAAGTTATTTTAGCTCTTTGATTATAGGGGACATCTTTCTCATCACTCACAATCAGGTTTCAATTCGCTACTTGATAAGTTATGGTTCTTATTGTTTGCACCATTTACTTTTACTATGGCATTACTAATATGAATACAAATTTACATGCGATGTATGGTTTTTTATACCATTGTATCAGTGGGTATAACTTGTATATCCCAGAGAACAGAAAAAAAACGGTTATGCTGGCTTGAGCTGCACTTGTGCTTCACCTGATCAGCTCCACTTTTGTCATACGATCATACCTTGTTAGTAAAATGTCAATCTATCAATTGACAACTGAAATACAGCAGCGATAGTTACTTTAAGGTATGAACGATTGTTTCTTACTACAAAATTATGAAACTTTATTTGTGTGTTACACCGTAAGTTGAAAATTTTAAAGGACATAAACTGACTAGGAGGAAACAAATTTCAGGCTTGCTTTTTAGCCTTTTAAGTGATGCATTTTCTACTGTTTGTTCTTGGTTAAGGAGGATCGACAACTTCTAATCATATCTTAACATTTGGACAGCTTATAGCCTATGTGAATAGTGATACCTAATTTAGGCCTGCTCTGTTTATTCTGTTGAAATACCGCAACTTAATGCTGACTGGAACAATGAGTCCCTGATATCACCCTGTTTACATTATTATTATTTTCGGGTATCTGAACTGGTTTGGCCTGAGCATATGATTGGTGAGCTTTTCAACCCTTCCTAGAAGGTTGGAAAAGCATACACAGTGATGCTAATCACAGGCTGTTGTTGGGATTGTTCAGGCGCGTTTGTGCTTAAATCTGGTTTGTATATTCAGATGGCTTGATCGTGGATACGAGCATAACCTCTGGCTCCTGTTTTCTGGTGATATTTGTAACCTTTCTCCTCTCACCGTTGATATCATATATATGTACTTGCATGTAGTTGGTGGTTTGTTACCCTTTGTGAAACTTGTTAGATTTTGCTACCTTCAAGTAATTATAATAAAAGAATAAAAGGGTGGACTCCTTCAAGTCCTGTGGTTTTAATCTTCACACCAAAGATATTATAAGCAAAGGTAAGGTATACAAACATAAAGATCTCTTGGAAAAGACCAACAGCCAGAACCAAATTTTATTTAATAAAAAAAAGAAAGAAAATAAAGTACAAATTCTCAATGAAGTTACAAAAGAAGATAAAGACCCAAAGCTTGATAGAAACCAAATAACTCTTCATTGTCTTCAACAAAAAGTTTGACAATTTGAAGATCCATGATTGGAAATGTTGACATGAAGAGCCTTACCATGACAAGAGAAGGCGCATCAACCCCTTAAACTCTACCATCCCAATTTGACCAAGAAAAGAATGAATGATGAAAATAAGAAAAGAAATGACACTAATCACACTATTTATAGCCTAAAGTGGATCATTCTGTCTACCTTGGTAAGCATTATACGACACCAATCACACTATTTATAGTCATAACCGGATCATTTTGTTCACGCACTACTCTTAAGTTCAATGAAATAGCATCTATTGTCGTTTAATTGTTATGTTCCTTTGAATTGCATCTTTCAGGATTGGTCTAATAGTTTGGTAGTTCAAAAATTCTCATTTGAAAAGTTGCACTGTGATCTCAATAATCAAATATTCTAAGCTTGAACAGTATATAAATGAACTAACAGGAGATATCGATCATAACATTTATGCACAAAAATAGCTCATGCAATAATCTAATCCGGTGTGTAGCTCAAACCCAAAGACTAGTTCAAAACTTCAAATTGATAATACTTTGTAATAGTTTGTATATGTTATTGATGTTGAAATAAATAGCCTTCTTGGTTTCACACTGCTCTCACCAGTGAACATTCACATATTATTTTATATACAATAGAACAAAGTCCATAACTTGTCCATCATCAACATTTACAAGATTTACAACTCCTCATAGAGGCAGAGAGAAAAGGGAGTGAAACACAAACCAAAAAAAAAAAAAAAAAAGGAAAATGGCAGAGGGTGTTCTTTTCAACTTAGCTGGAACAGTGTTGGAAGCCGTGGGTAAAGCAGCCATAAAAGAGGCTGCGTCCTGGTGGGGTGCACGAGACGATTTGAAGAAGCTGGAGAACACCATCAAGTTGATCCAAGCTCGAGTTCATGATGCTGAGAGGAACCAGGAAGAGCCAGGCAGAGATTGTGCCATCAAAGAGTGGCTTCGGAGGCTGAGGACAGTGCTTTACCAAGTTGATGACCTGTTTGATCTTGTCCTCACCGTTGACCGGGAGAAACAACAGATGAAAATGAACAAGCAGGTTTGTATTCCTTTCTCGAGATCAGGCACTCTTTGTTTTAACTGGAAAATATCTAGAGAAATCAAGTCTATTCGACAACAACTTGATGAAATCAATTCAGATATTGCTGGCTTAAACTTGAATGCCTATCATGATCATAGAGGTGAACCACAATCACTAAGGGCTCGCTTCATGAGGAATAGAGAATCAGGCTCTCATGTGAAAGAATATGTCACTGGTAGGGAAAATGACAAAAAAATAATTACTGAAATGCTTTTTTGATCCAAAATTTGATGGGAAAAGGATTACTGTAATTCCAATTGTGGGGTTTGGAGGTCTTGGAAAAACCACTCTTGCTCAACTGGTTTTTAATGATGAGGGTGTTCAGAACCATTTTGATCTTACTAAATGGGTCTGTGTACCTGAGGTAGGTGATCAAAACACTGTAATTAGGAGAGTTTACCAATGCTTCACCGGTAAAGAGGATTTTGATAGACTCCTATTTAGCGCGATTGAATCATGCATCCTAGAATCGATAAAGGATAAGAAGTATCTTCTTGTCTTAGATGATATATGGGATGAAAGTAAACTTAGCTGGTTGGATCTTCTAAGTTTACTTAAATGTGGTGCAACTGGAAGTAGAGTTATTGTAACAACACGCTCTGCTGACGTTGCAAAAGCTGTTGGGACAACAGAAGCCCACAATCTGGGACTTCTAACTGAAGAAGAGTCCTGGAATCTTTTCAAAAAATTAGCATTCCGATCAGAGCAAGAAGAGAGTAGTAATTCTTATTTGACTCAGTTAGGGAAGGAGATCGTTGATAGCTGTGGAAATATTCCCCTTGCTATCAAGGTTGTAGGAAGCCTTCTTCCTGACATTAGTGAGGAAGCGTGGCGACAAATTAGAGATGCTCGACTCTCAAAGGCAAAGGGGATGGCAGACACAAAGGCAAAGGGGAAGGAAGAAGATGATATCATGAAAGTGCTGAAGTTGAGTTATGACTACTTGCCACCGGCATTAAAGCAATGCTTTGCTTACTGTTCATTGTTTCCAAAGGACTATGAATACAGTAAGAATCATTTGGTAAAACTCTGGATGGCGCAAGGATATTTTGACCAATCAAGCACAGGTATTGGAGAGAAATACTTTATGAAATTGTTGGGGAGGAGCTTATTCCAAGGTCCTAGAGAAGATGCTGAAGGGAATTTCAAATGCAAAATGCACGATTTAGTGCATGACTTGGCTCAAGATATAGCTAGTGAAGAGATGAAACAATTGGTCGAGCCTTTAGACCAGATATCTTCAACTGATGAACTTATACATGTGAGTGCTAAATTGGAAAAGCCAGAAGATGGTGGATGGGAAGCTCCAGTGTCGTTGCTTGCTGCTAGGAAGATACGGTCATTGATACTGTTAAGACTCAATGTTAATATTGCTATCAAATCATCATCTCTTGAAATGATGATTTTGAAATTTCAGTCTTTGCGTGCCTTAGACTTAGAGGGTAAGAAGATCTCTGTGCTTCCAAATTCTATAGGGAAGTTGAGACACCTGAGATACCTTAATCTTGCAAGAAATGATCTTATTAAATGTCTTCCTGATAATATAACAAGATTACAGAACCTGCAAACACTGAATCTTTTGAGATGCTTTAATCTTAGAGAGTTGCCTAAAGATTTTTTGTAAATTGGACAGCCTTAGGCACTTGGAAATTCTTTTTAGCGGTCTAAGAGATTTGCCAACAGGATTTGCGAATATGACAGCTTTGAAAGACTTAGATGTATTTATAGTTGGGAAAAACAATGGTATAGATTCATTGCCACCCTTGAATATTACTGGATATGTGGATATTGAATTCAGCAAGTGGCGGAGTGATGCTGTTGTGGAAGCACAGAGGGCAAATTTGAAGGACAATCAGCATTTGGTACGTCTTAAATTAATGTTTGGATCCATGGAAGTTACTCCTGCAGATTTCGGTGAAATGGATAGAATGTTACTGTCCTTGCAACTGCCTCCAAATCTTAAAAACATTTCTGTTCAGCAGTACAAAGGAGTTGAGATGCCACGTAGATGGTTAGATGGGTTATCTAAGCTTGTTTTCATCCGTATTGAGTATTGCAGTAATTGCAGAGTTCTCCCTCACATGAGTCAGCAGCCTCATCTCAAAGAACTTTATCTTTCTTCATTTGATAGCTTGGAGTATGTAGAAGATGAAGATGATGTTTCGGTTGGTGATGGAAAGTGTGATTCTGGAGCTCACAATAATGTCTACTACCCATCCTTAGAAAACTTGCAATTATTGGGTTTGACGTCTCTAAAGGGGTGGACAAGACCATCAAAGGGTGATGATGTTGGTGAGACAAGGCACTGGCTGTTTCCTCGTCTTTTGAAAATGAACGTAGATCACTTCTCCAAGTTGATGTCAATGCCTCTAGCGCCAAAGCTGGAGTCATTAAGGGCTCAAGTAATCAATTGGAAGGTGTTTGAATCCAATCTGACATCAGTTGATGATGAGGAAGCATCTTCTTCTTCGACTAATCTTTTTACTTCATTAAAAGAGTTGGATATTTCTACGATTGAAGATGGACCTACTTCTCTGACAATCAGTAATAGGTTCTCTAATCTACAGAGTATACATATAGGCCATTGCGGCGAACTGACAAGTTTGATGATAGAATCTTCAAATCCCATTCGGTATCTCCATATTAATGGGTGCAAACACTTGAAAAACATATCAGTGGGAAATATCTCTGTCCTTGACACACTGATAATTGAGGGCGGCGGTAATGACTTGGAAGAAGAGCTCTCTCAAAGCATTGCTTGCTTAACCACGCTTCAGAAACTTGAAATCAGTCGTTTCAACACAGTGAAACAACTCCCAGAAGAGATGAGCAACCTCTCCTTGCTGCGTGAGTTGAAGATTGTTGATTGTCCAAAAATGGTGTCACTTCCACTATCATTATTTGGCCTTACCTCTTTACAGAAGCTTTGTATAAGCAGCTGTCCAGATCTGAAAGAAAGATATGAGATGCCAAATGGCCAAGATTGCCACCTTCTCCAACATATTCCCAATGTTATATTGTGAGTTTCTGAAACCTGCATTTTGTCTCTATATAATTTTATGTTAATTGAGTGTTTAATGTGAAATTTAAATACCTCCGTTTTATATTATTTGCAACGATTAGACATTTTACCTCTTTACTTTATGTCAAATCGTTGCAAATAATATAGAACAGAGGTAGTATGCAACTTTTGGCATTTTTTGGTATGGGAATAATTAATAAACTGACTTCCTTCAATTAAGGTATGCATGACTTTTTTAACTACAATGTAAAACATAATATGTATGCAAGTTGAATTGATGAGCACATTCGATATTAAGTTTAGATTATATTGTTAAATGAAATTGAAAGGACATTGACTGAAGAGAAGGAAGGACACAATTGTCAGACTTGCTTTGTAGGTGATGCATTTTCTACAGTTTGTTCTTGGTTAAGGATCAACACTAATCATATCTTCACATTTGGGCAGCTTTTAGGCGTTATAGCCTATTGTGATAAGTGAGCACCAAATGAAGTCCGCTTCTTCACTTTTCTGTTGGTTTAACGCGACTGATGCCTACCAGAACAATGATTTTCTGATGAACAATTCCATGCTGCTGTAAGTTTAATTGAATTGCATTCTCAATTTCTCATCCTACTCATTTTGTCGTTTGAAATTTCGTGTAGATATGTTTTCTGAAATAAATCATTAACTGCTATTATCTATTGCAGCTCTTCACATATACTGATAACAACAGAATTGTACGGTTGAATAATAGTCTCAAATCAGAGGAACTAAGCCATGCTAACCTCACAAAGGTGATTTTGCAAACTATAGGCTTCTAAAATTTTAGGCTTGAATTATTATGCATACTTCCTTTGATAAGCTGAATTTTATGAATCTGTATTTTGGGTTACTAAGCTTATCTGAGTGAGAAATTAAGATTTGCTGTTCATGTTTACCCTTGTGCCACTCTAAGTCAGATTTCAAGCAAAGAGGATCGAAAATCTTGTGTGTTAGTTTTGTGACAATGTACATACAGAATATAAAAACGATCCTACCAAGAACTTTTTAGATGCTGAGAAGCATGACTGCTTGAGTACAGCTTTGGAACTCATTAAAAGTGCTTTGTGCATTTTACCACTCCTGCTCCTAGATATGTCATAATTTATTATTATTGCTCGATGCTTTCAGGGATATTGAAGATTTTGGGGTGCATTAAGCAGCAAGTTATTGAAGGGGGAAAAGGTAAAACATAATCAAGCAAGGGAGCAAGCTTTTACCTGACATTGCAAGGAATGAGATTTCTTCCTTCAGAGATGCTATGTAGCATGCTGTACTAAAATGAATATGGTGACTGTTTCGTTGCTCCTTAGTGATGCTAGGCCATCTGCATCAATACATCATTGATGCAACCGGTGATACACCAAGAATTGAGCCGAATGCAATTGCACAGGGGTGCAATTTTTTGTTTCACGCCGTTTAATTGTTTCCTGAGTTAACCACTTTGGTGCGTGTGGAGTAAATCAAGGCCCTTGTTTTTATGTTAATAATTTCAGTAGTAGACTTGGATTGGCCTGAGGCTGAACATATGGTTTGTGGAGCTTTTCAACCCTTCCTAGAAGGTGGGAAAAGCTTACATAATGATGCTAATCACTGGCTAGTGTTGGGATTGTTGTGCTGCGCTTGTGCTTAAATCTGGTCAGCATTTTGGGAACATGGGGCATTTATTCAGATGGCATGATCGTGTATATGAGGTCCAGCTTGTCAGGAAACAAAGCTGGACAGAAGCTCTGTTTTCTGGTGATATTTGTAACCTTTGTCCTCTCAATCTGTTACAGTATAGTTTATATCTTATATATCAGCACTCAGTAGATAGCAGATATCAATTCCTGCTCGCTGTAAATCTACCTCTTATGTAATAATACTGGCTGTATGTATAACTAATTGCTTTTGAGTAATGTAGACTAACTTCAGTAGAAAATTTACTGTCAGCTGCTCAACCCTTTAGTTTCCTTTGTTTAATTTGCTTACCGCCTTTAAACAAACTTACAATGTAATTGTGATCGATTTATTTGGATTTATTTACTTGATATGTGAAGTTTAAGTATGACCACTTGACCAGCCCTCCCTCTGTCTTGTTGGTTAGGATAACTCCAAACCTTAATCAAGGTCAGGGGTTCGAGGGTTGGTAGGGAGGAGAAAGAGAGAAAGATATTTAGTTTAAGTATGTGCATTACTAATGCACTATCTGAGAAGCTATTCTATTTATCTTTGAATTTATGGACATAAACCCCATTATTTCTTCCAATCTTTTCAGTTGTGTTTTTAACAAGAGGTCTTGACAGGTCTCCCTCCAATCCCTTTTCTTCTCTTCATTACTCAGTCATGCACCTTTGTCAATATGTATTCAATTGGATTTTAATCACTAATTAACTATCAAACCTTTTGCATCTGGCACAGTTCCTTACCTACAATGTTGATTGGCATAATGTTAATTCACAAATTCTTATATGTGGCTAGTCACATGGTATGGCCACTTCACATGTAATGCAATTAAATAAGTAATAGGGGGTTACGGTGATGAGTAAATGAGGTTACCTTGACGTATGTGGGTTACTTAAATGAAAAAAGGGGTTACTCTCTTACATAAGTGGAATCATTCTTTCAATTTTTAAAACAAAAAAATAGGAGTTAAGGGTTACCTATTTCTAAATTAGTTGATATTACTCATATAATGAATTGGAGTTACTTTAATGGACAAAATGAGGTTACTCTTTGAATAAATAGGGTTACTCATATACTACATCCGTTAATTATTATGTGCAACAAAGAGGTATTATTTATGAAACATAAAATATTCCTTTGTTGCACAGAATAATTAATGGAGGTAGTATATAAATAAAAATTATTCTTATAAATTAATGTGGCCACACCGTGTGGCTAGCCACATACAAGACTTACTCATGTTAATTTAGTGTATAAATGTATTGCTTTAAAAAGCATTCTTAATATAATTTTGATAATTTTCTACGTCATTTTGTATCTATATATCTTTCGTAATCCTTTAATTTGATCAAAATTTGTTAACTATATTTTCAGATTTTATTTTGTTAGTATAAAAAATTAATTATAATGATAATTTAAAAATGTTTATTGAAAATTACCGCCTTAGTGGCACAGGAATTAAGGGTGAGCAAAAATTCCAGATACCTTGAATTGGAACCGGAACTGGTTAGGAACAAAACGGAATTGAACCAGGTGGTTCCAATTTCGGGTAATAAATTAAGGACCCGGTTGTAACCGGTTCCAATTCCAATTCTCGGTTTTTTGGACCCATAACCGGTTGGGAATTCGGTTACCCAACATACATATTTTACACTAAATAAGTTTTTAAAAATAAAATTATGTTAAATGTATCTAGTTAGTATATATATATATATATATATATATAATATATATATATATATATATATATATATATTAATACCTAACATAAATAAAATAGCCTAATGCATATATAAATACAAGTGTTAAACGCTAAAAATGAAAATAGAATAAAATATATAAGTATTATAATTTATATTATATTTTAACAATTATATACCTAAGTGGGGTACCCAGAACCAAAACCCGGTATCCAGTGGTTCCAATTCCAACTTCCAAGTCCTAAATTTTAGGACCCGATTGAACCAATTCCACTTCTGGTTCCAAATTTTGAGACTCGGTTCCAACCAATTCCGTATCCGGGTCCTAAAATTTTGACCGGGTACTCAGTTCGCTCACCCCTGACAAGAACTAATCTAGTGTTGAATAAGTTAATCTTAAAAACCTCCGATCTCTTACATTCCCTTTATTAATTTCATTCCATTTATCCCGTGTAAACCAAACGGCCCCTAGGGACTTGCAGACTTGCTCTTTGAGACTTTGACAAAGGAGGTTCTCTTTCCGACTCTGTCTCACTGTCATTCGACTTCTCCTTCTCGGTCACTCCAATACTCCCTCAATCTCTCTCGCCGGCGCTCCGTCCTCCGGCCATCGTATCCCCTCCTCCAGGTCCAGGTATCTAATTTGGTTGATTACAGTTTGTATTATCTTGATTCTATCAATCCCAACCTAGTTCACTTTATTTTTATGAGTTATTGATAAATTTTTGGAATTTGCTGTAGTTGGTTTGAAATCTGATATATCATCATCTTGTATGTTTGTTTGATTCTATGTTTCTGGAAATTATAGCTTAGTTTATACTTGTATGTAATCACACAAACTCTAGTAAATTAGTAGAACTTGTTTTGCTTATTTGATACAAGTTTTGCTTCTCTAAAAACATAAATGAGTAATTTAGGCATAAGGGCGCCTGCACTCGATGCACGTAAGACGAGTTGTTATTGAAATTGAGTTTTAGATTGTTATATAATTATATTTTATTTTAGAATAACTTGGTGGTTTAAGTAATTTGATTTTAATGTTTTACAAATGTACTCCCTATAAGTCATGTAATTACTATGCCCAATTTCTGCAGGTAATTAGTGTTTGCAAAGGAAGCTGTTTATGGTGGAGTATGTTGGGACTCGATTATTATTAAGTATATGATCTATCTAAATCGTCGTTTTTAGTAACCCTTTAATTGAGCAATCAGTAGAATTGACTACCCATGGTGAAAAAGTGTAGAATTGGCACAGAAGAAGTAGAAACATTATGGGAGGAAGTTAGGGAGTTAAGCCTCGGTACATCTACTGAGGTGGAACGACTTAACTCTCCTCCTTCACCTCTTGAATTTCTTAGGAACTTTGTGGCTCCTAACAAGCCTTGCATCATATCCAATGCCCTTGATCACTGGCCTGCCCTTTCATTATGGTCTTCTGATGACTATCTTTGCCAAGCCCTTGGGTCAGCAGAGGTTTCTGTCCATTTAACTCCGAATGGCCGAGCTGATTCTTTAGTTCCTCATCCTGCAGACTCTTCCTCCCTTTGCTTTGCTTCTGCACATGTGGAACGCATGTCCTTCCCTGATGCTTTCCATCTCATCTCTGATTCTGAATAGAGTGGAAGTCTTGTGGCATATGCTCAGCAACAGAATGATTGCTTTCGGACTGAGTACTCGGTTTTGGGTTCAGATTGTGATACACACATTGATTGGGCCTCTGAAGCTCTAGGCTGTCTTCCAGAGGCTGTCAACCTTTGGATTGGTAACAATCGGTCTGAGGCTTCCTTCCACAAAGACCATTATGAAAATCTATATGCTGTTGTTTCTGGTGAGAAACATTTCCTTCTGTTGCCACCTACTGATGTTCATCGCCTGTATATTCGTCAGTACCCAGCTGCAAATTACTCCTATTCTCAGGTTTCTATTAATTAATAAACTTTCTTGTATATCATTTATCAATTGGTGACAATCGGTCTGAGACTTCCTTCCACAAAGACCATTGTGAAAAGTTTGGTTTTATATTTGCAGGATACAGGAGAGTTCAATTTGGAGTTCGATGATCCAATTAGACATGTCCCTTGGTGCAGTGTGAATCCTTATCCACCTAAAGGAAGAGAGGAGAAGGAACACAATGAATTTCCTTTATATTTTAACGGGCCAAAGCCATTTGAATGTACAGTCAAGGCTGGGGAGATGTTATACCTGTAAGTTTCATTACTTAATTTAATGTGCCTTGGTATACATGTAGCTAACTAGTTTTGCTTCACCATCTGCTTGATGAGCCCTGAATTTACTGTACTTGTGAATTGAGCTTGGGTGGCCCTTATTGGCTATTAATGGTCCATACTTTTAACTTATTGGCCATGGAATTCACCTATCTTAACCAGTTAACCTACAAAGCATGAGCTTATTTTTCCAAAATAAGTGAGAATGGATCCATAATTGTTTCCAATAGAAAGTTTATTTCTTAAAACTTGTTTTGAGTTTTTGACAGTTATACTATAAGGCTTTTTTTTTTTTTTTTTTTTTTTTTTTCCTTCTACATTCAATTTTATTGCCTATTGGTTTGTCATGTTTTGTTGATCAGTGCTTGATGGTTGACTGTACTGATCCCAAAAGGACAGCATCTTATAATCAGGTTATCTTATTGATCACCATCATTTCCTTCTTACACCCCCTTAAAAATGAAGGGTACCCTCGATGCATTCTTGGATTGAAATCTGTGATAAACTTCCTTTCTCTGTATGAACTATGAAGGGCATTTTTGAACCATTTTTGGAAAGATTTCTCTCTTTTTATTCCTCACCTAATTGAAGCCTTGAGAAGTATCTCTTATAAGTTCTGTCAGTGCCTAGTTGACTGTCAGTGCCCCTATCCCAAGTCTCAATAGCTATTAATACTGCAACCCATTGTTCATTGATCAAAGGTAGCTATTAGATCTCTTGGTTAATACTTGTTTTAGTTGTTTAAATGTTGACATCTGTAGAACTCATTATTAGGTTCTTAACATTGTTGCTCATGCAATGGGACATTTGTGTATATTGCAGGCCTAGTATGTGGTTTCATTATGTGAAGCAAAGCCCACGCACCATTGCAGTCAACTATTGTAAGAAGCACTTTGAACCACAATTCCTTAATCTTTAGATTTCTAGTATTAGATAATTGATTACATATGCTTAAGGTTCATCTTGTTCTTGCAGGGTATGATATGCAATTCGATATCAAATATGCTTACTTCAACTTCTTGCAATCGATTAATCCTATTGCCTGAAGAGTGTTTAAAAACTGGTTGCCTGATGCTTGTTCTCACATTTTTCACATTTTGAGTCAGTCATTTTGGGTATAGGCAGATTGTGCTGTATCAATTGTAATGCTTGTAGGTACTTGTATTTGAATGGATTGACTTTCATTTTTGGAAAGCATTTTTGTAAACAAATTCCATATGATTTTTTCTTCTTTGTATCCAATTTTATATTCTGTATTTCATAGGGAAATCTAAGCTTACATTACATTAATTTAGGGGATGCTGGGAGGATTGGGTTCTAGAGTTGTAATTGATGAACATTGCTATTCAATATTCGAATTGAAATCGCTTTTAATCCTTTGTTTCACTTCGCGTATTATTTTATCCTGCTAATCTATATATATATATATATATATATATATATATATATATATATATATATATATATATATATATATATTGTTTTAATCATTTATATTTAATTTTTCCCTATTTCCAGCTAATTGTTATGGGTCCTGCCCAAGTGGTAGTAAAAATGTGTGTTCTTTTTAGTCCATCAATTTGTGTGTGTATATTAGCTGCTGCTTTCACTCGTCCTTACTAACCTTTTTTTTTTTTTTTTTCCTTTTTTTTTTTTTTACGGAACGGATCAGAACTACCCTTATTTTCACTAAGGGCTACTAGCACAAGGCTTGCTTACTCAAGAAGCCACAAAGTTAAGTCCCAAGATTGAACTTACCCAAACAAGTAAAATGTTATTAGATTGACCAAATAGATGGACCAAAAGAATACACATTTTACTACTACTTGATCCGGACCCATAACAAATCTCCTCCTCCAGCTTAACACGGGAAAGACGACCATGCTTCAAGAATCACTTAAAGCTCAATCTTGCAAGCTTATTAAAAACTTTAAGCTTGCTTCCGGGAACCATCGTTGTCACTAATACCTTCTCCCCTTCCTCCTCCAGGCTCGCCAAAGTTGAATGTTGATGGCATGACTTAACTCATTCGAGATAAACGTCGTTAGTGGTCATTGACTTCTCGAACATGAATGCTATTGTTGGCTATTAATCACATGGAAGATGAAAGCTTTACCAATGATATATTTTCCTCGAATTGTATTCAATGATCAAATGAAATAAAACTTTTTGAGTTTTAAAAAAAAATATACCTCATAAGATATAAATGACATGGACCAATAGGATGAAGTGGTATATAAAGTGAGACAGACGATTTACAGATTATCGTACACTTAAGGTCAAACTTTGGTCAAATAAGACAATAAAATCAGATCAAACCAGATCAGATAAGATAAGATCAGTTCAGATAAGTAAAAATAAGTTGACCTAAATAAGGCCTAAATTCTCTTGTAAAATAATAATTAAAGAAAAAAAAACGACACCGTTTTCCCTGGCAATATAACAAAACTTCACTTTCCTTCTTTTCCCAGACTCAAAACACAGACGCACCACAACTCGTTCTCTTTGTAGCATTCAACGTCATTAGATCGGAAAAACCCGACAACAGATCTCCAATTATTCATCCTCACGTACTTTCAATCTATCGATCGTCGAAAAACCCTAATTTTTTTCCGACGCCGGCGAATTCTCATCGCCGGCGACACCATGGCTCCTCCTCCTCCTGCTTATCAATCTCAGCGATCTTCTTCTTCCCCTTCTCAACCTTCAGGGTAATTTCTATCTTTTTATTTTGTTTCATGTCAATTTTCTTCCTTTTGTTGTTCAATTTGTTTTTCTGCATTTTGATTTCTGCAATTTGTCAGAACTTTCTCCATTGCTGCTCTAATTCATGCAGTTGTAATGAAATTTTATGTTTTTACATCAATTTTGGTGAATTAGAGGTTTAAATCGTGCTCAATTGTTGCGGATAGCTGTAAATCTAGTTGCTTTTAGCCAATTGTTAGATATAATGCTTGTGTTGGAGTGAGATGGTGTGGATAAACTTTATTGTTAAAGTAATGATCTTGAAGGATTCTTGGGTTTATTTGGTATGTGGAACAATTGGGTTCCATACGACTTACATATTGTTTTTCATTGTGTTTTAGTGCAATGACTAATAAATCTTGTTTGTAGTTCATTGAAAGGGTTTGTATTTAGCAATGGACGGTTTTATTGGAGTAATTTTGTTAGTTAGAGTGCGCTGGTTGATTGATTGTCCATCGCATGCGTTGTTTTAACTCACTACTAATGGCGTTGTTAGTTTTGGTTGCTGTGGAGTGTGGAATTTTGATTGATTTAGTTGGGTGGTAGCTATTTGCTGTGATCCTAAAGACCTTGTTTTATATGAGGAATTTGTGGGAATTGATTCAAACACTGGATCTTGTTGGAGAAGGTATACTAAGAGAACTTAGTGAATGTAAGCAAGCCCATATCAATTTAGCCGATTGCATTCTTATTTATCTGATTAACATGTAGATACTTGTAAATTTCCAAGTACGGAAAATAATATGAAAACATATTGGTTGTTAATTTTGTGTTGTGGCACTTTAAATGCTTTTTGTGTTTTATTTGCTACTTCTCATGGTAGTGCTATTAGTATATCATTAATTGCTGTCAATAACTATTCTTACCAAGAAACAAAGACCAAAGTTACCAAACACGTCATTAGTTTAGTGAATTAGAGTTTGACTATCTGTATCTGCAGGAAAAGTGAAGTTTCAGATTTAAGGCTACAGCTACGGCAACTTGCGGGCAGTCGTGCACCTGGAGTTGATGATTCTAAGCGCGAGCTCTACAAGAAAGTGATCTCTTACATGACAATTGGCATTGATGTTTCGTCAGTTTTTAGTGAAATGGTCATGTGCTCTGCCACCTCTGATATAGTTCTGAAGAAAATGTGTTATCTGTATGTCGGAAATTATGCCAAGTCCAACCCTGATCTTGCGCTGCTCACTATTAACTTTCTTCAAAGGGATTGCAAAGATCAGGATCCAATGATTCGTGGGCTCGCCTTGAGAAGTCTTTGTTCATTGCGTGTTCCGAATTTGGTCGAGTATTTAATTGGGCCTTTGGGCTCTGGGTTGAAAGATGGTAGCAGTTATGTGAGAATGGTAGCTGTCATGGGCATCTTGAAATTGTATCACATTTCTCCTTCAACCTGCATTGATTCTGATTTTCCCACTATGCTCAAGCAATTGATGCTCAATGATCCAGAAACCCAGGTTTGGATCATTATTCATTCTTTTGTATCTTCATCTGGATATCTGTACAAACTTAGACAGAGTTTTAGTGGCTTCTTTACCAAGTTGTTTGTTTGTTTTTTAAGCTTTTGATCTTGTGCGTATTTCATTTCAATTTTTTGTTGTCAATCCATTTGGAACAAAAGTTTGTTTTTTCTTTATATGTATCAGCATCTTGATTTTTGAAGAGGATATTATGAACTGTACCTTTTGCTTCCTGGAAAGATCTCACTTAATTGCCTCATGTACTTCAAAAGTTCTGAGGCAGCAATCTGGTATTTGAGATTAATGTTCCAAATAATATGGGAGCCAATAATCAACTTGAATACCCTTGTTCTTTTTATTTTGAGCTATCCTACTACTTCGTACTCCGCTTTGCTGATTATATATAGCCCTTTAAATATCAATGAGTACGTTAATTTTTGTAGCAGTTTGTTCTAAATTTTTGTGTTGACTACCATGGCTTTGGTGATTTATCTTCCCTTGTCTGTTTCTTGATGATGTGGTACCTCTTGCTTGACACAATTCTTTCAGGTTGTTGCTAATTGTTTATTAGCACTGCAAGAAATATGGAGTGCTGAAGCAAGTTCTTCTGAAGAAGCATCTAGGGAGAGAGATTCTTTGCTTAGCAAGCCACTTATATATTACTTTTTGAATAGGTAAACTACTGGTATTTTGTTTATTTGATTGTGAAATTTATTTTGCATTACATTGACCTACATTAGCTGATTTTATATGATATATATTGCTCCAGTGTTTTTCCTGCACTATATAACAGTCAACTGCTTCTGATCAGCAGGCTCTTTTCTGAAAGGAATTTATATGTTTTTTTTTTATTAAAAAATTTAGTTCAAGAGCTTTAAGTTGATATTGGGTTGTTCGTTGTGGGGATATAACTGTTTCATATGCCTTTAACCCCTAGTATGCTACTTCAACAAAAGCAAGGTAGCATGTATCTTTACTTTGACATTGTGTGACCTGTATACACTTGAATTTTATAATAGGGTTTTCAGGAGTTGGATTAAAGCTCAGAATTTTTACAATTTCAAGATCTTCATACATTTAAACTCGATAGCCCGCAAGTTTCTAGCTTGAATTTGCCTTGTTCAGGCTCTCTTTGTGCTTGAATTTTGAAATAGCCATATAATTGAACTAAACTCATTTTTCGGGACTTTATAAACCTATTAATAGGCTTGTTATGGTTTCAAACTAACTTTTATGACCCTAGGGGACACTCCTTACATTGACTTCAATTTTGGAAAAATTTCCCGAAATTTTCCGAAGACATTCATTATAGCCTTCAGTATTGGGCAATTTTAAACTTTTTTGGGCTCGGAAAGGAAAGAGGCCAAGGTGCTTCCCATGGACCCCACAAGACCCCAAGAGGCCATTTGGCCAGTTGGTAGTATATTAGTGGAAAAATAGGTGTGAAAAGGAGATAGTGTGTCCAAAAGAAAGGTAAGGAGTTATAGATAATTTATAGGAACATACCAAAAAAAAGAAAGTATTCAAACTGTTATGGGATAGATGAAAATGGAAAGTGTTCAAACTATTTTAGGACGTAGAGAGTAAAATTCTCCTGCTGCAAAGAATTCTCATTTCTCCATATGTTATCTTTGACAACCTTTCTCTTACTGTGGAGTGATGGAAAATGGAGAAACGTTAGAACTTAGAACTTGTGTTTAGTTAAATTATGCTATCATTTTTCTTAGTGATCTACCTAGAATATTAATTGTTAATCCATACCTCAACTTTATATATTCAGGATCAGAGAATTCAGTGAATGGGCTCAATGTCTTTTGCTTGAGTTGGTTGCCAAATATGTGCCATCTGATAACAGTGAAGTATTTGACATCATGAATCTTCTCGAGGATAGACTTCAACATGCTAATGGTGCAGTTGTTTTAGCCACTATCAAGGTGTTTATGCAGTTAACCATGTCCATGACTGATGTTCATCAACAGGTACCTTTATCCTGGTATACGCAGATTCTTTTATTTAGCCTGAGTTAGGATGCTTATTCATAATCAGTTATACATAGATTCTACTATATAACCTGAGCTAGGATGCTTATTCATAATTATTAGTTCTAGCAGTTATAATATCCTTTCTTATTTTACTGAGTTTTGCTTATATTGGAGAATACCCTAAAATAATAGGCTACTCTTCATTTCTAGCAAATATAATTATGAATTTTCCCATAATATTCTTTATACTTTTAGGATTTGATTTCAAGCTGATTCCTTTTAAATGATTCTTCACCAAATGTAGCCTATTGAATGATATTGAGGCGGGAATATTATTCTGTTTATTTGTGTAGTATTTTTATTTGTTGAAGTGAGCAGTTATTTGGCTGTTTGATCTTGATTAGTTTTCTAGGTTTTAAGGAGGGGACGAATTAGTTTCAATTTGTTAGGAGTGTCTTTGTATAACGATTCTTCATTAATTGTTTTTGTGGTGATCTGATATATTATTACGGAATATGTTGTAAGCATTTTTAAAAAGCTTGCCATCTCTATAATATAGATACTAGATATATTCTTTCTAGTATTGCAGCCTATTGCTTAATATTTGTTTTAGGGTCACATTTTGTTTTAGGGTTATTTAATATATGGTTCTCTGCATATTCTTTTCAGGTGTATGAACGTATTAAAGCACCACTTATCACCCTGGCCAACACAGGAAGTTCTGAACAGTCTTATGCAGTTCTAAGCCATCTTCATTTGTTGGTGATGCGTGCACCAATGCTATTTTCTTCAGATTACAAACATTTCTATTGCCACTATAATGAGCCATCTTATGTCAAAAAGTTGAAGCTTGAAATGTTGACTGCAGTTGCAAATGAGGATAATACTTACGAGATTGGTAAATAACAAGTCTAGATTCTTACTAAGCAAAGTGGGATTAACATTGTTGATAGATTAAATGTAAAATTTTGATGTATCATTTACGAGCAATTTTCCTGTGTCTGCAACAGTAACGGAGCTTTGTGAATATGTTGCCAATGTTGACATCCCGATTGCTCGTGAATCTATCCGAGCTGTTGGAAAGATAGCCCTGCAGCAGTATGATGTGAATGCAATTGTTGACAGGCTACTTCAGTTTCTAGAAATGGAGAAGGACTATGTGACAGCTGAGACTCTTGTGAGTTTAGCTCTCCTTCACACATATACCTTATTTATTTGTTTGAAATGAAAATATGAGAGGCTGCACACATGAATCTGCACTTTTCATCTTTTATTTGGTTGTTGTGTTTGCCTTAATGGGATAAAATATGTGCCAGTTGTATTTACATGCTTCAAGAAAGGTTTAAGTGAGCATAATAAGCAAGCTAGTTGTACTCATAATGGTACATTCAAAATGATGGAATACATACTGGCTTTGGTTTGAATGTATGTTTGTACCCTAATTGTCGTTCTTAATGTATTACCACTGGAATGTCAGTTAACTGGGGTGCTGGATCGAGTCATAAAAATCAATCAAAATTGACGTTTACAGGTTCTTATCAAAGATTTGCTGCGCAAATATCCCCAATGGAGTCATGATTGCATTGCAGTTGTTGGAAGCATCAGTAGCAAGAATGTTCAAGAACCAAAGGCTAAGGCAGCTCTAATTTGGATGCTTGGGGAGTATGCACAGGACGTGGCAGATGCTCCCTACATTTTGGAAAATATGATTGAGAACTGGGAAGAAGAAGATTCTGCTGAGGTAAGGAGGATATGCTGTTTAGTAGAAATTTTCATCTTTTCATCCAATTCGACCTGGTCTTTACAAGCATGATACCTCAAATACTCTTAATTTCGAGGTTTTGATGCACACTGCAATTGCCTGCTTGTTTTTTCTCATGCAAAGTTGTGAATCACATCTAAATGAAATTGCCAGCATTCAAATATTCAATTGTTGGTTGAGACCTCTATATTGTTAAAATACCCAATTACCCATGTTTTTGCTTACTTCCATTCTTCTGAGCTGACCATTCTGTTGTTACATAGGTTCGTTTGCACCTGTTAACAGCATCAATGAAGTGTTTCTTTAGAAGGCCACCTGAAACTCAAAAGTCATTGGGAGCAGCATTGGCAGCTGGAATTGCTGATTTTCACCAGGTTTGTGTTGTTATTGGCCACACTGCCACACAAACCTAGTAATATACAATTATAGCTTTTTAGTTTGTGCACTTTCAATTAAACATACAATTCTCTGCAGGATGTCCATGACAGAGCCTTATTGTACTATAGGCTTCTTCAACACAGTACATCTATAGCTGAGAAGGTGGTGAATCCTCCAAAGCAAGCTGTGTCAGTCTTTGCTGATACTCAAAGCAGTGAAATCAAAGATCGTATATTTGATGAATTCAACAGTCTATCCGTTGTATATCAGAAGGTAGCTTAGATTCTTTTGTGTGTGACACATTATCATGCGTCGTAGCTTTTTCTTCTTTCAATTTTCAGCTGTATTTTTTCATATTATTGCTGCCAGAAAATGATTTTTAAGAAAGAGAAAGATCTAAAGGTTTTGTGTCTACAAAAGGCAAGAGGCCTTTGACTTTCTTGTAAGTATACTGTTTGTGCAATATGTGCATAGTTCTGAAGGTTTTTGGCCCTGCCAATGATGCCTTTTTTGTTTCCTTTCACAATTATGAGTTGGGGGAGGAATGATATGTAATGGTCAAGTGCTGTTCCTAAATTCGGGCCTTATTACTTTTGAATGGAAGCAGCGATATAGGTTTACTCCGTCCTAAAGGCAACAATATTATTTGATAGAAATTGCAGTCTAGCTCCTAGAATCTCTATTTCTTGATGGTTAATATGCTGACTACGTATAAATGAAAATTTTGCATTTGATAGAAAAATTAATGTGGTGTAAAGGTTATTTTTTTTACCTCTGCTTTTCTATAGTCCATTGACCTTTTAACAACAATTCTTCCTCCAATTGAACGTGAACAATACAATCTTCCAGGTCCCAGCTTTTTGGGGAGGGATGGTTACCAATGTGTCAGATCTAGTTTTTTTACTGCTATTAGAACTTGGGATATGGGAAGTGCAGCCAACCCAGCAGTTCACATTTATAATTTGTTTTTTGCTAGTTCCAATTCACATATCAATTGCTTGGGTTTGTGGTTCAAATAATCCAACTCCTTTCTTTAATTGACCCTATGCATATATAATCCGTGCCTATTAGGCTATTACTGTCTCAAAATATTTTTGCATCACATATTGTTTTTAACAATAGTATAACTATGAAGTTAGAACCTGAAGTTTCCTAAATACTTTGTGTTATGATTATGGGTTTAATAGTAAGAATAATTGGTTTGATGGCCACATGGTTTTCCTTCTGCAGCCATCTTTCATGTTCACTGACAAGGAACACCGAGGGCCATTTGAATTTTCTGATGAACTTGGGAATTTATCCATAGGAGCAGAATCTGCCAACAGTGTGGTTCCTGCTCAGATAGTTGATGCTAATGACAAGGATCTGCTTCTTAGTACAACAGAGAAGGAAGATAGTAGAGCTATTAGTACTAACGGTGCTGGTTATAGTGCCCCTCTTATTGATGCATCTTCAGGACCTCTGGTTGCTTTGGATACACAGCCAGCAGTACAAGATGCACAGGCTAGCATGGCTATTGATGATTTACTTGGCTTAGGCTTCGCTGCACCTGCACCTTCCTCTGCTCTTGTTCCACCTCCTCTGAAACTTAATGCAAAAGCTGTTATAGATCCAGGCACTTTCCAGCAAAAATGGCGTCAGTTACCCTTGTCCTTATCACAGGTTTGTGAAACACTATGCTGCTGTTTTACTATGCAGTTTTGCACCCATATTTATATGAAGGTTGAGGGATCTAATTGTATGGAAATGGGACGCTTAAAGTTAATTGAGTTTGTTGAATAACAGAAATTTACTGTGGATGATATCAGTTCTTATCTTTATTTTCTATATAAAGGTCAAGTAACCTATAGTGTGTTCCAGAGAAAATAAGATTTTAAAAGTATGATATATATGATTCTGTTTTTTCCCTCTTTATCCCTTTTTGTAAAAATTAAAAATACTAAATAAAAAAAAAATAAAAAAAAAAAGGTTTCTTCATCTCCTTTCTTTTCCTTTTTAATGGATGGGGAGGGGCTGGGGAAGGTTGACTGGTTGAGTCGGAAGAGGCACAATGTATACATATCTATGAAACAGCTACTTCCTTGAGCCAAAGTAATAGTGTGTCAAAAGAAGATTGCAATGAGGACGGGCAGGGAAGTTTCTGAGTAGAATTTTCATAAGCAATTATAGTTCTTGGTGTCTCTAGTATGGGAAAATATCATTGCTTCTTGCTTAAGGCCTCTTTTATTAGTTTCATTCTTGCGCTCTGCAGCATCTGTTCATGAGAATCAATAACTTACGGCGGATGCCCTTAGCACACATTTACATGGACTGGGAATATGTCGGAGTTTTGTTTATGTTTAGCTTAGCAACACTTGGTTGAAGTTATATGACAGCTGCTAGTTAGTGTTCACGAATTTGAGCTAGTTGAGATTAGAGAATAGTCTAGTTTTGTTTGATGAGCTTTAATGAACCACTAGTAAATTTAGTATTTGAGTTATTTTGTCAAGTTAATTTGTCTTTATATTTTTTATGAAGCTGAAAGATTCGCCGCATTTTGGCTTAGCAAGTTGGCATTATAATGGACCAAAGCAAATTGTTTTCAAGTACTTGCACTTTTTTTTAATGAACTAGAAGATGGTTGTGTTTTGAACCAAGGACGCAATGGAAACAGTATATTTGTTGTTGCAGTGCTAAAGCTGCATATTTTGGACCCTCTTCTCTTACCCTGCACTATGCTAGGCTAGATCATCTTAACAGTTGTGGTATTGTTGATATTGATGTATGTTGTGCATTTGTCATTTGTCATTTGTCATTTGCTGTCTTGTTGCTGACATGTCTTTAATTTAGCTACATTATATAACATTCTGATGTTTCTTTTACATGATTATGATAAATGGAATCTGGTATCTGTTAATTTGTGCAGGAAATACAAGTGACTCCCCAAGGTGTTGCAGCATTAACCACACCTCAGTCCCTTCTACAGCACATGCTAGCAAACTCCATACACTGCATTGCATCTGGCGGTCAATCACCTAATTTTAAATACTTCTTCTTTGCTCAGAAAGCAGAGGATACATCCACATTTTTGGTAGAGTGTGTTATTAATACATCAGCATGTAAAGCTCAAATAAAGATCAAAGCCGATGACCAAAGTTCATCTAATGCCTTCTCAGAAATATTTCAGTCAGCCTTGTCCAAATTCGGCATGTCCTGAATATCGCCCATCATTTATTTTTTTTATGTTGCTTATGGGCCACTATGAGAAATCATGTTCAATTTTCTCTGTATTCTTCTTCATACCCTCGTTGCTCTTTTCTTCTTTCCTAGTGACTCTTTGTAGATGTAGATTGTTGTACAATGTGTAACATATATAAAAAAAAAAAACCTTTCATCAATTTTAGCCTTCAGTCCAGCTTCAATACACGGTACTCATAAGTAGATTGAGATTTACAGGAATAATTTTTTGCTCATTGTGTTGGATATTTTGTACAATTGAGTAATTTTTGTCAATATTTTGAAAGATTGGAAGTAGTTAAGCTGTTGGCTGAACTAATGATTCATCACTATATTGATTGAACTGAGCATTTGATCTCCTAAAAGGGGAAATAAGCATATTAAGAGTAATTTTTACATGAAACTTGAAATACTAGTATAAAGATTGGTAGAAGCAAATGGGATTTACTTTGTATATTATCAAAGTTCGACCACAAAGTACAAACCATGTCTTAGTGAAAGCCATCTATCAATGGATCTTCCTATAAAATTAATTTAGTTTCAAATTTGAAGTCACCAATTCACTCATAGTCTCATTGCACAAAGCATGAACGTTAACCATATGAATATTGTGGATGCATGTTCTCCATAAAATAAGACCAGTATATCTTCAAGACTAATGAATTTGTGCATAGAAAGTGTATAATACATACTCGTATGATTATTTACAATCCACTTTGAATTCAGAGATCAACAAAATAGTCCATTCACATATTTATTTGGTGAATATGACGATGCATTTTTTTTTAATATAATTTGCGCAACTTCTAATAATTACGATGGTACCTTGAATGGCTGTGGTGGTACATGTGTTGTAATTTATATGACATTAGTCATAGCCTACCACTGAACTAAGCCATATTAAATTCCAAGCAAATGCCTACCTAAAATGAAATTACCCCATCAAAAACTAAACCAAAACAATTGCAGGGGACATGAGCTTTGTACGTAGGGTTTTAGCTTCAACTAGAAAGGGTTTATCTTTAACTTATCAAATTCAAATCAATCCCCCTAAATCTCAACTACCCTTTTGCAATTACCATTCAACTTCCAGCAATTTGCTGCAAAAATTGATAAAAGAACCAAAATCACGCATCGAAATCATTCTTGATTCTGAAGAAAATTCGACTCTCAAAAGCATTGGTTTTTCTTGGGATGCTCTTCTTTCTGCTATCAATTCTTCTTCTACATCCAAGGCAAACCTGGTAAATTCATCAAACCCTGTATATAATCTGAATTTATATTTGATTGGATGCTTAATATATTTAATACCCATTTGCAATAACTCTTTTTTTTATTATTTTTTATTTTTTTATTTATGGGAAGCAAGCCTTGTGAGTTGTGAATTTGGATATTAAGAAATTTAGATAGATATCACTAGTTTTCTTCTGTTTGGGGTTTGATTGGTTTATGCTATACTGTATATGGTTTTACCACTATCAAATGGTGTTAGTTTACAGATACAGACTTGTGCTAGTATACTTGTATTTGTGAAAAAACTGAAAATTATATTTGGTACTTTAGATTTCTAGTGCTTTTGGCTTGTATTTATGGCTAGTTATGATTTACCAGGCTTTGGAGTGGAGATTAGAGAAACTGCTGAAGCACAATGAAAGAAATCAGGAGTTGTTTACTGAGCTAATTTCTCATTGTGGGGAAACACGGAATCTCGAGTTAGCTATCCGTACATTTATGGCAATGGAGTCCGTTGGGTTGAAACCGACATCTGATATCTTTAACTCGTTGATTTTGGTTTCTTTGCGTGTGGGAAATGAAATGACTGCACTTGGCTTGTTTGAGGTTATGGAGAGATCGGAAGACTATAAACCAGATGCTAAAACTTATAATGCTTTCGTTTCGATGTATGCTAAGTCTGATAATGTTAAGGCTATGCAAGCATGGGCCTCAGCTAAGAGAGTTTCTGGAATTCCTGCTGATTTGCAGCTGTATGAATCTCTAATTTCCGGCTGTGTTAAAGCGAAACGATATGATACTGCCGAATTTTTTTATGAAGAAATGATATCATCAGGATTTATTCCTAACATACACATCTTGAACAGAATGATTGATGGTTTGTGTGAACAGCAGGATATTGGTAGAGCTAAACAGTTTTTGCTCAGCATTATTGATAATGGTTGGGCAATTAGTCCACATATAGCAGACAGACTTTCACGTCTGTGTTCTGAATTAGGAAAAATTGAGGGAATTGAAGAGCTTCTCCGAATCTTAACTGCATCAAAGGAAAGCCCAGAAGTTCTTTCACGAGTGCATTGTGGAATCATAGGTATGCATGCAAGGGCAGATAGATTAGATGATATGGAATATGCCGTTGGGAGAATGTTGAAACAAGGGTCTACATTCAAATCAGCTGATGATATCAAGGTGATCATCCGATCTTACTTTAGGCGAGCAGCATATGACAGGCTGGAGTTATTTTTGGAGCATATCAAGGGCTCGTGCCAGTTCACAAAATCAACATACGATTTGTTGGTCACTGGTTATGGTGAAGCTGGGTTATCCGAAAAACTGAACATGTTGCTGAAGGAATTGGGTCTGTGTGAAACTTCATGAGTCCTGCATTATGTCATTCACCTCATTTCCCAGCAGAAATTCTGCTGGGGGCTTCAAGGTTAAACCAGAGACCTGGCCATGGAACATCTTTTACTCTGTTAATTAATAATTACCAAAAGTAGATCTACTTCTGAGGTTATTGACTCAATTCAGCAGAATTCGAACTAACAGCATATGGTCTGGTTTCCATTTTCTGAAGTCCTTTTCCGTTCGTTTGTAAAAGGCATGGTTTCACCTTTCAGATTTCAATCAAAGCTGTTATTTGATGCTGAGGTTGATAAGGCTGAAAAGCTGCTAGCTTAAGCAATTGTAATGTTGAAAGCCTGATCTGCTACATACAATTTGGTAAGTGGCAGTGTTTTATGTGCTTCATGTTCAAATTGAAATTGAATTCTTCATTTTTCACATTCCTTCTTCATTAACGAGTTGATCATTCTTAGTTACTGATTGGCATGTAAGGAACCATTTGATAATTTGAATTGACAAACTGTAACATGTGTATACTGAAGGCGCCTTGCCAAATTGAAGAAATTTTAAATGACTGCTTTTACAATACGAGGCTGCTTCTAGTTTCAAATAGGTGAATCTTCATTTGAGTTTATGTCATTTTTTTTATCCCTTAGTAATAGAATATAACAACCTGATATGCACAGGAGTGGCAGTTGTTTCGGGGTTTTTTGATGTCCTGCGGGAGAGTTACAATTCCGAGACTGGAACCGGACGCCTGTACCTGCAAAACAACGGAGACTCCTGGTGGTGGGAGCTCCACCTCCAACGGTCAAGTTAGTACTTGATTAAGGAGTAATTAATGCGGAAATTAAAGTGATTGGGTCTCTCTAGGTGAGAGTGTTTAATGTGAGTTTTTAGCGTAATCTGCTTTGTTAGTGTGATCAGCCTATTATCTCCGTGTAATCCCCCCTTAATGAGGATTAAGGGAGATATTTATAACCTTGGGAAACGTGTCAATCCTAGGTTTAGGTTAACCTAGGGCTGATTGGGCTTCCCTCGGAAGTTGGGCCTGGGTGGCCGGTTATCCCAGGTGTCATGGGAAGGACACGTGTCGTGTCGTAATTGGTCCAAGGTGGACGGATCATTGCTTGACATGTGGCAGGCTCCTATTGGCCCATGTGACGGACACATGGCGGAACCTGATTGATCCACTTGTCAGATGGTGATTGGTGGGAGCAAAATCCCCTAATCATTTGCCCCTCACAGGTGGCACGTGACTGGTCACGTGTTACCTGTGACAGGTGTCGAACTGTAACAGGCGACGACCTTCTCCCGCCCAAATTTTGAATTCTGGAAGTGACCCTTCGCCTTCTCACTTCGCCTATATAAAGGAGTGTTGACTTGAGTCATTTTCACACTTGAGAACTTTGTGAGAGAACATTCGGACCCCTGAACTTGCTCTGACATTTTGGACCCTTTCTGCCTACCGCCTGTTCTGACAAGCCGATTGCACAGGATTTTCAGCACTTCATCAATCGTCACTCGTTCAGGTAACTGTCGGTTCTCTTACTCTTAATTTTCTTTTTATTCTTTTTTGAAATGGCACCACAGAAGCACACGACACGACCTAGGTTAGTGATCAGCCGGTCACCGGGGACGGCTGAATCTAGGACTAGGAGTGCCGCCTGCCCTTTTCCGGACCCATCTTTGCCCTTTATACAAAGTCCGACTGTATCTGTGTCTATGCAGAGCATGATGGCCAGAACAAAAAAGACTGCTAGGATCTCAAATTCAGACGGCTCCTCCCACAGGGTGCCGATTAGTGAAACATCTGACCAGGCGCCAGATGTGGAAGTGAAACAAAGCGGCTTGAAAGCCGGCTGTTCTGAGGGAGGAATCAAAGTGACCCCTTCCCATTTCACAGTTGACAATTCTTCATTCTCTCCTGCTCCTTTTAAAGGAAGGGAGGCGGGCCCCTCCGGGAGAGGGGAAGAGTCGTCCTCTTCGGACTCGTCAGAGGACGATTCCGAGACTAGCTCTTCTGGCCATGCTTCTCTGGACACAGAAGAGAAAAACAGTCGCCTGCAAGAGGCGAGGCTTTCTCACGCAGTTGAGAAGGGGGACAATTGGGCGGAGCCATCCGCCTCTTACCGAGAGCAAAATACCCCCTACTAATGCACGGTACCTCGGGGCCGGATCACGACCATGCAAGAGAAAGTGGAGAGCTTTATCGCAAACCACACAATAGGCCCCGGTTTTTTAGTGTTTGTGCCGGATCCAGAAGACACAGTCGTCTGGCCGGCTGGTACCAGTTATGATAGCGCCTGCTTTGGCTGCTACGAGGCGGCCATCAAGGCTGGGCTGCGCTTCCCATTACATCCGGTTGTTCAGCGGATCTTGGATGGGTATGAGTTGGGGTTATGGCAGTTAGCCCCGAACTCCTGGGTCAACGTACTCGGCTATGTGGCCGGGTGCGAACTGCACGGGGTGGAGCCGAGCTTCGAGGCTTTCGCCCACATGAACTACCTCAGCCGGACCCCTAAGGCAGGCGGTACCGGCTGGTATCAATTGACGAGCCACAGGGGCTACCTCATGACGAGAGGTAAAGCAAACAAATGGAAGGACTGGCGGTGCACCTTCTTCATCATTGAGAGTTCAGACACAGAGCTGAACAAGCGCCTCAACAGGTGGAACAGGAATCCGCCCCTTCTTGCAGGCGGCCGCAGCATGCCGCCTGTTCCCCCCAAGGCTAAGAAAGAGATCCTGGATAAAAGACTCTTTAAAGTAGAGTCGAGGGTCGACTCTACTTCAGGGGTACGAGAGCAAGTACCCCTGCACTGCGTCCCGAGCTTCAAATGGCTCTACGACGAGTACTTTTTGGCCGCCTGTGGCCTCAGCAGTCGGTCCTCAAGAGGTAGTCGGCCTGTCGAACACTCTGTTGTTCCGTGCATTTTGTTACAACTTTTATTAACTTTGCTGTTTGTTTTTGCAGCGGACGTCATGAGCAAAATTACCGCCTCCAAGACTGCGGCGGCCATGTTGCGGGCCTCCATCATGCAACAAGCTTCAACCGACTCCCCAACAAGGGGGCACCCTTGGTGGGCTTCGAACCTTTCACCCTCTTTTTGGAGTTGTTTATGCATATATTGACTTCTTTTTTTTTTTTTTTTTTTTTTTTTAGACGGGCGCTCCAAGAGCTTCTTCTTCCCAACAGCCGGACCCCAAGGCCCGGAGGACGACTGTTGCGAGCACTCCTGTTTCTGCCAGGAAACATGCGGCGGCTGAGAAACAGCCGGCCACTTCTTCAAAAACTCTAGCTGGGCCGCCTAGAAGTATGAAGTTGTCCTTGTAAATTTTAGACTTGCTCCCTTTTTTACTAGGTCTAATCCGTTTGTTTATGCTTGATGCAGCCGGCCCTCAGGAGCCTGACTTGGTCGAGGTGGCCAAGTCTATGATCAAGGTCGTTCCTCCAGCTGAAAGGGAGGCGGTCAGGGGTGTCGGCACCCTTGACCTAGACGGGATTGCAGGGGTCCTTGCTGAGGTATACTTAGCATATTTTTGAGTATTTGAATTCCAGGACGCCTGTTTTCTTTTTGTTTGGAAACTGACGCCTGTTCCCCTTTTTACTTAGGCCCTGCTCCGAGTGAACGGCCTTCGCAAGCCGCTTGACCGGAAGAACAAAGAGGTAAAGGCTGCAAAAGCCATGGCCGCCTCCAACTGTGATAAGGCAATGTTTCAAATTGCCCAAAATGAAGTTCTGACCATTGATATTCTTTATTATCAGGCGCAAGCTACCGCCGCTATTCGGGCTCAGTTAGAGGCGGCCCAGAAGAGGAATGGCGAGCTGGAGGCGACCATCATCAATCTCAAGGCCGAGCTTAAACCTCTTCGCCTAAAGATGTACTCATACGAAGCCTTGGAGAAATCCTTGGCCAACGTAAAGGAACGCCTGGTGACCCAGGAGAAGAGTCTTACTAAGGAGCTCTCGGAAAAGGCCGAGCAAGAAAAGAAAGAGCTGGTCCGGGAGATGATGGAAGACTCTGCTCAAATCCAGCGCATGACTTGGGGCCGCCTCTTCCCCAATGCCGACTTTGCCTCATGGGAAAAAACGTACCGCCAGTGTTCTGATACATATAATCAAGAGATCCTGGCGGCTGCTGAGGAAGAGGCGTTGGAGGAAGCGTTGGAGGAGGAGGAGCCGGTAGTGGCGCTTGTGCCGCTTGGGGGTAATGCATCAAAAAAGGATGCAGCTGAAGCCGAGTCCAGCAAGAAGGGTGTGACCAGGCGGCAGCTGCTAATATTGAAGATCTGCCCCCTTCTTAAGCTTTATGTCTTCTTTCCACGGCCTGCGTGCCGTTTGTTTTGTATTTACCCGGCCAGGGGGCCGGGGCTCTGAATATTTTGCCGGTCTTTAATGACCGGCTTCTTTTTAATGAATTTTGTTTTGCTTCAAATTTGTCTAAGTATTGAATATTCTGATATCCAATTGTTCACTACACCGACTGTTTTACATGGCCGATAGTTGCAGACAGGTACGGATAGTTAGTCACGCCGCCTATGCCCCTGGACGACTGGTTGTCTGTTTCCAGACGATCAGTCGGCCATTTATCCAATCGGTATTCGAACTATTTTAAAGACTGGATCCTTTTTAGGCAGGCGGTCCTGTCATTTGTAAATTTAACCAAGTAGGAAAGTGGTCTGACCAAGTAAACATGATTGTTACCTAGTTGCCAAGGAACTGAGTAGTAGAGGTATCAAGCGGTGGGTACTGGTTGTTTCCCTTTATTCGCCAATGTTTGTTGGCTTTTAACTCATAAGTTGTTAACTTAGCAGCAACCCTTGGTTGAGAGCCCCTGTTTGCTAAAAACAGGCGGACGACTCATACCTTTTAGGCTCCATACTAAGTTTGAGGGAGTGACTATGAGTTAACTTTGGAGTTACTCAATCGCCGTCACTCCTGCTTTAGTAGTAAAGGTACCAGGCGGCAGAGGCTGGCTAGACCCCTTGATTCGCCAATGTTTGTTGGCTATTAACTCAAGAGGTACCCCCTGCATTTATCCTAAGTAATACAGGCGGTCATCTGACTCAGATGTCAACTGCTACCACTAGTTTGGTTAGTGATAGAGTTATCCTTGTCTCAAAAACGGCTACGTGGTTGCCCTTGGGGGCAGTCGTATAGGTGCCGTGTAATTAGTTTATAGAGCAATGTTCCACCCAAAAGGGAGCTGCTCTCTGCGACGAATTTCATCCGGAGGGATGCCGCCGGACGCCTGCTATGATGTTGGGACAGGTCGTATTAGTTTTGAAGATTGGATCAGTTGGCTTGGCGCCTGGTCTGATCATTCGGCCAGTGGCCTTGGTTAGTTCTTGGTGAACGTAGGTGCTAAGTAAAAGGAGGGTAGCCGCCTGTTAGGCACAGGGTCGGTCAGGCCCTAATCTTTTTTAGCTAAGTATAAGGGGGGTGGCTGTGTGTTTGGAACCAGTCGGCCCTCTTCTATGGAGAGTAGCCGACTATATGTTCTGAAGATAGAGTAAAATACTCAATGGAGAGTAGCCGACTGTAAAGGTACAGACGGCATGACCCTCTGAAGATAGAGTAAAATACTCAATGGAGAGTAGCCGACTGTAAAGGTACAGACGACATGCCCCTCTGAAGATAGAGTAAAATACTCAATGGAGAGTAGCCGAC